TTTTCTACAATTCATATTATATTGCTTTTGGCTATAAATAGCCTAAGCCATGAACCAGAGGAAAGAACACAACCAAAAAATCATCCAAGTATATATAGAAAAGTATTACATATATATACTGATACACCACCGTGTATTTTAGCTCTCCCACTCTATTTTGTAATCTCTTTCATAATCCCTGTAAACACTTCAAATTATAGTGAATTGTTTCTCGGCTTCCTCCGCCCGTGGTTTTTTCCCGATTTGGGTTTCCACGTAAATTCCTGTGTCTCTATTCTATTTATTTTATTCGTATTACGTTGTGATTATTACGCTTTGATAATTTTTGATCTCATTCCGCATTGAGCTAATATTATTTAAGTCAATTTGGATCCGTCGTATTTTACAACAATTGGTATCAGAGCATCCGGGTTGTGATATTAGCTCGTTGGGATCATTTTATCAAGTAATTAATCATGTCTTCGGTAAAATACGATATTCCACTACTGGATCGTAACACCCGATTTCCGTTGTGGCAAGTAAAGATGAGAGACATTCTCATTCAGATGGATTTACACAAGGCGCTATTGGGCTTCAATAAGATGCCCGATACATGGACCGAAGAAGAAAAGGAGATGAAAGATCTGAAGGCTTTATCCCAGATTCGTTTGCACTTGTCAAATGTTGTTTTGCAAGATGTTCTAAAAGAAACGTCAGCGGCTTCTTTATGGCTAAAGTTGGAACAACTGTTGATGACCAAGAGCTTACCAAACAAGTTGCATTTGAAGCAACGGTTGTTCAATCTCAAGATGATTGAAGGAGGCTCTTTAACTGAACATATATCCACATTTAAAGAGTTAGTAAATAACTTAGAGAATATGGATGTTCAGTATGAAGATGAAGACTTGGCTCTATTCTTACTATCGTCGTTGCCAGAATCCTATAGCCATTTTCGTGATACTATTATCTATAGCCGTGACACTCTAGTTTTAGATGAAGTCTATACAGCTTTGGATTCAAAAGAGAAGATGAAGCATATTACTGGTGGTGGTTCAAGTGATACTAAAGCCGAAGGTTTGAATGCCAGAGGAAGAACAACAGAGAGAAGTAGAACTTCTCAATCTTCCAACAGAACCAGATCCAAGTCAAAAGGCAAACGAAAGTTTTGCAACTATTGTCACAAGAAGGGAAATGTGCTTGAAGAATGCTTCAAGTTGAAGAACAAAGAAAAAGAGAAGACGGCAGCAAATGGTAAACAAGCTAGCACTTCGGGTGAAGCCGATCTAGCTGAGGTCGAAGGTATTGGAGAACTTTTGACAGTTTATTCAGATAAACTGGATTCCACTGGTGATTGGATACTCGACTCTGGTTGTACTTTTCATATGTGTCACAACAAAAGTTGGTTTTACACATTTGAAAAGGTTAACCAGGGCTATGTGTTGATGGGTAACAATACTACATGTCCAGTTCTTGGACATGGTTCAGTCAGGATCCGTATGTTTGACGGAGTTATTCGAACCATGGGGGATGTTAGATATGTTCCTGACCTCAGAAGAAACTTGTTATCTCTCAGTTCCTTTGACAAAAAGGGATACGAGTTTGCTGGTAAAGGTGGAGTTCTCAGGGTATTCAAAGACGGTTCCGACAAACTGAGAGCCAAACGAAAAACCTCAGATCTTTACTTTCTTGACGGGCAAACAATTTCGAGTGATGCTGCTGTTGTGTCAAAGTTTTTTTCTGATCCAGATCAGTCCCGTCTTTGGCACCTTCGACTCGGCCATATGAGTTTTCAAGGCATGTCAGAATTGAGTCGAAGAGGTTTACTTGGTCAACAAAAGATTGTTGATTTGGATTTCTGTGAAGACTGTGTATATGGCAAGGCAAAACGAGTGAGGTTTGCAAGTGGTATCCATACAACGAAAGGACCACTTGATTATGTTCACTCGGATTTATGGGGACCGGCTCGAGTTGCTTCAAAAGGTGGAGCTATTTATATGCTCACTATTATTGATGATTTCTCCAGGAAGGTGTGGTCTTTCTTCTTAAAAAATAAAGGAGACGTTTTCTCTACCTTCAGAAATTGGAAAGTTCAGGTTGAAAAGCAATCAGGTCTGGTGGTAAAGTATCTTCGTACGGATAATGGACTTGAGTTTTGCTCAGAAGAGTTTAATGTCTATTGTCAAAAGGAAGACATTACTCGACATCGCACAGTAGTCCATTCACCTCAACAAAATGGTGTAGCTGAAAGAATGAATCGCACCATTATGGAGAAGGTCTGGTGTATGCTTTCTAATTCCAAATTGCCAAAGTCTTTTTGGGCGGAGGTTGCTTCGACTGCTTGCTATGTTATCAACCGATCACCGTCACGAGCAATCGAGAAGAAAACTCCGTTTGAATTATGGTCCGGTAAACCTGCCAATTATTTAGATTTAAAACCATTCGGATGTCCAGCGTATGCACGAGTTGACAATGGGAAGCTAGAACCAAGAGCAATCAAATGCGTTTTTCTTGGGTACAATCAAGGTGTAAAGGGTTACAAGTTATGGAGCTTTGATTTGAAGAAAATTATCATCTCAAGAGATGTTACTTTTGATGAGTCTGCTATATTTCAATCAGTTGCTGACTCTTCTAAAAGAACAGATGCATCAGATGTATCATCCAAAGCAAATAAAGAGAATGCTCAAATGGAGGTGGAGCTTCCTACTTCACCTACCACTAATCAGAGTACAAATCAGCATCAAGATTCTTCTTCGTCGGATGAGCATGTTGTTGGTGAAGATTCAACACCTTCACAACCACAAGCTACTACTCCAAGCATTGCAAGAGATAGACCGAGAAGACAGATTATTCCTCCGAAGAGGTATGCTGAATCTGATTTGGTTGCCTATGCTTTTATTGTTGCTAATAATATTGAGTCCGCAACGGAGCCTACGAATTATGACGAGGCTATCGAATCTGAAGACTCAAATGATTGGATGCTCGCTATGCAAAATGAGATGGAATCTTTGCAGCGAAACAGTACTTGGAATTTAGTTCCTATTCCGAAAGGGAAGAGACCAGTTAAATGCAAATGGGTCTACAAGCTCAAGGAACCTGTCAACCCAAATGATAAACCAAGATACAAAGCTCGGTTAGTAGCTAAAGGCTACATTCAGATTCCTGGTATTGATTACACTGACATTTATTCCCCAGTTGTCAAACATACTTCCATTCGTGTGTTGTTGGGGTTGGTTGCTTCTAACGATTTTGAGTTAGAACAACTTGATGTCACTACAGCTTTCCTAAATGGTGAGCTTGAGGAAGAAATTTTTATGCAACAACCTGAAGGTTTTGTAGTTCCTGGAAAGGAGAACTACGTATGCAAGTTGAACAAATCTCTTTATGGCCTCAAGCAGTCTCCTAGACAATGGTACAAGAGGTTCGATTCTTTCATGACCAGTCACAAATTCAGCAGGTGCACCTATGATAGCTGCGTTTATTTTAAGAAAGGTGACAATGGTTCAAAGATCTACTTACTCTTGTACGTGGATGACATGTTGATTGCAGCGAAAGATATGAAGGAGATTCAGAAGTTAAAAGACCAGTTGAAAGCTGAATTTGAAATGAAGGACTTAGGAGCTGCCAAAAAGATTTTAGGTATGGAAATTATTCGTGACAGGAAGTCTAGGATCTTGCATCTTTCCCAGAAAAGTTATATTGAGAAAGTCCTAAGACGCTTCAGTATGCACGAAGCAAAGTCTGTCAACACACCTTTTGCAGCTCATTTCAAGCTATCATCCGCTTTGAGTCCTACTAATGAGACTGATATGGCTTACATGGCACGTGTTCCATACTCTAGTGTTGTTGGATCTTTGATGTATGCTATGATCTGCACGCGCCCTGATTTGGCTTATACTGTTAGCATGGTTAGTAGATACATGGCGAACCCGGGGAAAGAACACTGGAAAGCAGTACAGTGGATTTTTCGTTATTTACGCGGTACGTCTTCTATGTGTTTACGTTTTGGTAAATCTAACACTGGGGTGTTCGGATATGTTGATTCAGATTATGGCAAAGATTTGGATAAACGAAGATCAATTACAGGATATGTGTTTACTCTAAATGGTTGTGCTGTTAGTTGGAAAGCCCAGTTACAGTCTACAGTTGCCCTGTCTTCTACCGAGGCAGAGTACATGGCGATTACAGAAGCAGTTAAGGAAGATATCTGGTTGAAGGGGTTATTTGGAGAACTCGATGATAGAATAAAGGTGACCACAGTTTTCTGTGACAACCAGAGTGCTATTTTCTTGAGTAAAGATCAAATGTTTCATGACCGAACAAAGCATATTGATATTCGTTATCATTTTGTGCGGGATATCATTGAAAAAGGTGATTGTGTTGTGGACAAGATTCATACAGATTATAATCCCGCTGATATGTTCACCAAAAGTCTTCCTATAGCCAAGTTCAAATTATGTTTGGACATGGTGGGTTTTTTTGATCGCAGTTGAGCCTGAAGGCTCGTAGGTGGAGGAAGTATTATTTATTTTTCGGAAACAATTTTTTCTCTATATAAAATTTGCAGGTTCTTATGGAAGTTTTAGAGTTTGGTGAGCTATAGGTTTTGACTAATCGTAAAGCATGACTTGCTTAATTTTGATGTCAAGGTGGAGATTGTGGAAAAGTTGCCTCCAAAATTAGCAAGTGGCAAATAGTTCAGGGGTTATTTCAGTAACTTATCATTTACTATTCATAGTTTGACTATGAATAGTAATATATATGTTAATTGAAATGAAATTGGACGTCTATCTTTCACTATTCATAGCTTGACTATGAATAGTAGTATATATATGTGAATTTGATTTGGACGGTGAATTTTTGGTAGGCGCCTACAATTGGAATTCGGACGGCACATTTTTTCTACAATTCATATTATATTGCTTTTGGCTATAAATAGCCTAAGCCATGAACCAGAGGAAAGAACACAACCAAAAAATCATCCAAGTATATATAGAAAAGTATTACATATATATACTGATACACCACCGTGTATTTTAGCTCTCCCACTCTATTTTGTAATCTCTTTCATAATCCCTGTAAACACTTCAAATTATAGTGAATTGTTTCTCGGCTTCCTCCGCCCGTGGTTTTTTCCCGATTTGGGTTTCCACGTAAATTCCTGTGTCTCTATTCTATTTATTTTATTCGTATTACGTTGTGATTATTACGCTTTGATAATTTTTGATCTCATTCCGCATTGAGCTAATATTATTTAAGTCAATTTGGATCCGTCGTATTTTACAACACTGAAATATAACACGCTTCCATCCCCATTCCAATTGTGAACCTGCCCGTAAAAGTCGTGTCTAGAATACGCAAATGAAGGCAATAAAAATAGTAGAATAACAAAAAACAGAGTCTTGCTTGCTGCTGCTGACGTATCTATAAGCGTTAATAGTTTGGAATTTGTTGTGTTGCGTCGTGAGTGATGAGCCCATATATCAACCAATTGAAATCCATGAACCAGAATGCCCTAAATTAAACCAATATGACCAATGTAGACCAAAAAATTTATTATCAGCCACGTTTTGAAAACTTACAGATAATAGGAAACAAAATTACATGTCAGTGTGTGTACCTGTAGTGTTTCGAAAGCAATACTAAGAGGCTCAAAGAATAATAACAAAAACATAGATGATGGTATTATTTGGTAGATAACTAGACACATCATTATCCTGCAATAAAAAGATAACATAAATCCTTTATAATATGTAAAGCCACTATATAAACTGAAACGCGTTAAGAATTATAAAAAGTGAATACCAAATTGCATCGAGAGTGAAAACCACCAATAAAACAGAATATACACCCAAGTAATTCCAACGACTTGCATAATTAGGAGAAGATGTATTCAACTGTTCGAGCCGGTCCCTAGCTAGAGCTTCAAACATCAGTACAAAATGAAAAGTAAACCCGATGAAATTTTCTTTTTATATGCATTTTGCACTATTTAAAAAAACAATATATATATATATATATATATATATATATATATATATATATATATAGGTTTAGGTTCTATGGAAAACAAAAAAACCCTAAAAATCATAAAAATACATAAAAAAAATACCTAGACATCAGAAAAAAAAAATTTGAATTTTTTTATCAAAAAATCGTAGCTTTTAACATAAAATCGCTGAAATCTTTTTTGAAAATTTTTTTTTTTTACAAAAAAAGAAAATTGATTTTTTATTTTTTTTTCAGCGAAATTGTCAAAAAGGCTGCGATTTTTTGATAAAAAAAATTCAAAAAAAAGTTTTATATATACCTTCAAAGTGCATACTATGGTCAACCATGTAAACCACAATCCTGCATGAGGTAGTGTTAGTGGGACTACAGCCGCAAGAAATGTTCCCTACAATATCTAACGAATACATCATTCATATGGACATAGTACTCGTGCCTACCTTGTAGAGAACATACTTAAAGAGTCGCTTCACCAATTTCCAAGGTTCAACAAAATATATCGTCTACATGAAAAAATATATCATCAAAAATATCAAGATACAATATCTAACGAATAAAACATTAGTGAGAGACAAGAATATAGTAATTAAGATATAGAAAACATGAATACCTTAAGAGATATAAAGATGAGTGTATAAACGTTGAGGATAAATGTGAGCACCAAAACAGTAGTACTGATATATGGATTTTCCACTGCATATTTGGCAACACAAAAGTGCACATAATTTTCACCGATGATCAAACCATCTGAATTTAGTTTCACATTAGAAAGTTCGATCCAAAATTGGAGGCCTAGAAAGCTCAACACCGTACAGACTGCTGAGATAAAAAGACGCATCATCTCCATTGTTCACGACCTGTAACAAAATATTAAAGAATTATTAACTGATATATATATGGATATTGTTGAGATAATTTTAACAAATACTATCAACCTTTAACCGATTAAAATTTCACTTAGGAAGGATATTGTATATTTGATAATTTTAGCATATTTTGTCATTTCATATACTCTAGACTTCTTTAATGAAAACCCCATAAAAATTTCTCAATAATTCCTTCGTCTTAAACTTCAAAATCAAATCAAAACCAAAAACTCTATAAAATAACGTTTAATGCTTGTTAGATTGTTGCTGACGATATTTAATTTTATCTTTTTTCCAATTTTTAGGATCTGAGATCGCAATTCTTTGAGGGTTTGATGAGGCAAGTTAGTCACTTTTCGTAGATTTAACGTAGGTTATTTTAGCGTCGTTCAAACTAGGGACCAAAATTGCAATGAAATTACACTTTGGGAACCATTTATGCAGTAAAACAAACCTCTGGGTGAGAAATCATACTTTTTTGTACCAAGGAGGAAAGTTGTAATTTACTCTAACAAATATTAAGCAAAAACCACGGAAACGAAGAAATTAAAACCATAAAACCCTTATTTTACAAGTACTGCTAGTAGAGAAGAGGAAACTGGTAATTGATGATCCTTGCATCAAGAATCAAGATACCTACTGATACTACGATATGAAATCACGTAAAGAAAAGTTAGCGAAGCGAACCTGTTTTGATTGAAGAAGATGATGTGAAGTCTTGGGCAGAAATTCTCCCAACTTGTTCTTGTTCTTGTTCTTGTTCTTGGTTTGGTCAGAGAGAGACTATATTGGGCAGATTTTGCGGGAAAGTAAAGAGGAGAAGGGTATGAAACAAAAGCAAAAGCTGAATAATTTGCCATTTCTTCTTCGTATTCTTCTTATTTAGCTTTTGTCCTTACCAACTTCTTTTGGCATAATTTCCCCTTTCTGTTAATTGCTTCAGGGATGGGGGTGGGGGTATGTGTCAACCAGTTATAGTTTCCACTCATTTATTATATCTATTGTTATTGTTATTTGATTTATATCTTATTTGTAATGCCTTAAAAAACTAAAGAATACACGTCAGTAAAAAGACATGTCAATGAGAACAGAGAAGAGAGGCTTAGAATTTTCATTGTTTGATTGATTTCATAGACAAATAATTTGAGGATTGTAGTATCTTCGTTTTGTTTTGTTACTTTAAAGTTTAAACTGTTCTTATAAGCATGCTGGTGGTTATTGATTTTAGATCAAATTAGGTGTTCTGTTCTTAGCTTAAACTGGTTTTATAACATAAAAACTACAGATTTAAGATCAAAGTTATTCCTTTGGAATGTTTTGCTGTGTAAGTTCATAATGGTCTCCAGTATAAGCATATTATGGAGAATGTTGTGACATTACTCTAGACCAGTATTCTTATATAGAAGCTGAAATATAAACATATTTCTCTAATTTTTTTTTATTTTTTTTTTTTAGATTAGACTTGACCTTAGTAGGAGTTTGTACCTTATGAAGATAGTTGCGTGAGTGTTATGCAAAAGAAAGAAACTTAGAATAAAGAGTAAAAAGAAACCACTTACATATAAACGTGAAAAAAATATGCTACAAAAACCTTTTGAACAGCAAGAAGTATTATTAAAAAAACAAACCTAGCAAGAAGCTAGAGTTACAAGTTACACAAGAATTCCGACATCCAAGTATCCCAACTTCAGTTGAACCACATTGATGACCTGATAAATTTTTGAAATATTTTTCTTAACGAGGAGTTTTCACATTTATTGGATGTTTATCTGATATGTTTGGTTTATTTTATTGGTTAATATGCTTACGTTTTAAGGGTTATTTTTCATTACATTGCAAGATATCAAATCGCCCTATGGTTGATAAATGAGTACTGATGATCGGGGCTAGCAAACAATAAAAAAAAAAGTTCTACAAAAACCTTTCAGCACTATTTTGGCACATTTATAGGATTCTTGAGAGAGGATATGGTTTTAGAGGGTTACTGTTATTTGTTAAACTAGTTTAGATGATGGAATAACACTAGATAAGGCCTTGATCCCAAAATGTAATACCAATTAAGCCCAATCAATAACAGCCCATATAAGGGCTATTGGGTAATACATAACCGGTTTTGATTGGATTTTTTCATAGGATTATAACTGGTTTTGGAATCGGTGATCGGGTTTTTAAACAAAATTGTTTTGGATAAACCTATAAAAATTTGAGTTTTGTATATTTTCTTTGAAAATTCAAATTTACTCCAAACAGAAAGATATTTCATTATACTTTTGGATTTAAAATATTAATATAATCGAATACAAATCGGCTTTTAAACGGGTAGAATATGTTTTTTCAAGCCGGTTAAAAATAAGTTAATCCAATTTTCTGAGATCCGGTTACAAACTATCGGATAAAACCTATCCAGTTTAAAAAATAGTTATATAAAAAATGGTTTGGCTTTTATTTCAGATTTTTTTTAATTCAATCTGGTTTGTGCACATGTACCCAATGTTGTCAAAATCAAGATCTTACTTAAGATCGTTTTACGTTTTGCAAGATCGTGATTGTAAGATTGGACCGGGATCTTAAGATTCGACCAAAATGAACTCATATTCAAATTTGCTCGCAAGATAGTGTAATCAACTTTAATTTTTTTAGCATCACCCATAATTTGTGTTGCTACAAACTGTAAACATTAAGAATAAAACATGTTAATTATAAATAAGATCATTTTGATCATGTACACATAATACATAAGATCACAAAAGGATTATTATGGGTGTGTTCTGCATAACTCAAGATGAATTGATAAAAATGTGATGCTCTAAAAGACTTCTTACAACTTGTGACGCTCGATTTCAAGTTGGATAGACGAATTTTTGATACTCGACTATATAATAAAACTAAAAATGTGAGATCCGGATCGTAGTGTGATCGGAATCGTTTTTCACTTGTAGGATCTTAAAGTCGTAAAATCGTAAGATCAAAATCGAGATTTTAACAACTTTGTATATATCCCCTGAAGGTAGAGGTGCACAACAAAACTTGTTATATCAATGGTTATTTTATATGGATTTTGAATCGATCCGAAAATGGGTTGGTTAAGAGCCACTAAAACATGTTGGGTTTGATCCAATTCAATCGGATTAAGAGGATTTCATTCTACATGTTGTAGACTGTTGCAAAACGGATGACAAATGACACCGTTGCGAACCAATTCGATGAAAAACTAGGAAAAAATGTCGGAAATCGGATTAGAACCGGCTCACCGTTTCTTGAGGAAAAACCGTTTATAACACTAGTTTTAGAAATAATATTTTCAAGGTAATGAAGGAGGCCTAAAACATAAGACAAAACGTCAAATCAGAAAATGATATTATAACCGAATCTGAAGTTGTACGGAGCATAATCTCTTTAAAATAATTCCGCTACTACGTTGTGATTGTATCCTAGGATATAACAAAATGAAAAAGAAACCAACTTCGTTTAGACAATTAGCAAACGTAAATAAAAGTATCTTTTATGCTTCTAAATCGATAGAACCTCGTTGTGTTTTTTGCTTTTTACTTTTCTAGAGTATTTTTTTGAAACGGCCAACCATATATAAAGAGAAAGAAAACACTCTAGCAAGAAACTAGAGAACAAAAGAAACCATTACAAATTGTTTAAAAGAAATTGTAACCAACAATTCCACCTAAAAACATGATTTCTAAATCTATTACTAACCCAAAGAAAAAAGAGTTCTCTAATAGAATAAAAAATAATATCTTTTCTAGAGTATTGAACTCTAGTATACGAAGTCAAAAAGTAAAGGATTTAATTACACTAATAAAAGTCATTATATATCAAAGAGCTTCTATCCCAACGATATCAGGTGTTGCCCCAACTCTTTGAGGTTGAGCGTTCAAGTCTCGTCGTAGACATAGGTGAATTTCATGAGTAGTTTAAGAGTAAATTAGATTTTCCGTGAAAAAAAATTGGTTCATTACTAGTTTTAGACATAATATTTTATTTGGTCATGGAGGCAAAAAAAATATCTTTAAGGTCATTCATCTTTTGTTTTGTGGGTAAAGGGAGATGGATTGTTTGGAAGTGTTGCATAATTTGCACATGCTGGATCAAAGTTCTATATAAATTTGAAGGAACAGCAACCAATTGATCTTGGACATAAAATCTTGAAACTCTGGAAATTGTGGTGTTCAAGCATGCCATAAAAAGATAATAGATCAAAAGGGGTCCTACGTTAGATTCTATTTATAGGAATCTAATCCAATCATATGAAAATTACAAATCCAATCTCTGTAGATAGATAAAATTGCATGTTGCTGCTTGAATACTGGGTGATTGTTTACTTCATTCTGGTTTTTCAAATTTGTGACTACGTTTTTAAATTGCCTCCATAGTAATCAACCATCAGTTTATAATTTTTTTGAAATTATTTTTTTAGTTTTTTAGCAGAAGGTGGATAATGTATGCTGAAAAACCGATCATTGATTCATTGTCGTTGTGGTTGAAAAGACCTCATGTCTTCTAACAACTCCGGTGGCTCCTGATGGTGTCTAGTGTTCTAAATTAAAATTATAAAAACTAACTATGATATTTGAGTTTTGACTAATTATCAAATGAATCACTACTCTCTAATCCATCAAATGGTTAGCAGTGTATTATTATCTTTCTTCTGTTTCTATTGAGGTATCGCCGAAAGAATAATAACATCATATATATGTGTCCTTCTCCTTCACGTATGTGTGTTAAATCTTGACTGATTTATTATTGCGACTTTATTGACAAAGTTAGTGCTGAATATTTTCTTATATAGGTAAAACCGTAAAATACAAGCATAACACAATGAGCCAGAGGCAAGATATACATAATGGGCCGAATACAAACTTAATATGATCCAAAAATAATGTTATACTAATAGCCCGCTGCAGCCCAGAAAACCCCCACTGATCACCTTCTTTTTTTATTCTCATGGGAACATGTGGTGGTGGTTAGGGGTGAAAAGTGGAACAGAGTATCCGCTTTCGGAATCGGAACCGGCTGTTCTAGGTGGTTTCGGTTCCGGTTTCTAAAGTTTTGGAACCGCCTTAAGCGGTTCCGGTTCCGGTTCTCATTTTTTTGGAACCGCTACCCGTCGGGTACCCGCCGACTCTATCTTAAATATATCAACTCCATTACATCTCTTAAAATTATTGTAAAGTTAAATACTAAATATTAAAACGTTAACTATAACACCAAATTTTAAATGGTAATACTAAATATATACATTATGTTTTATACATACTGTATCTCATAAAAAGATTAAAAGCTTTTATTAGACATATTAAGGAATTTGATTTTTTTTAAACTTTAATATATTCTAAACAGTTAACTAATGAGTATATATGCATTTAAGTATAAGATCTAAAAGCAGAGCCGCTTCCATGCCATCCGACTAAAAAGAAAGGATTAAAACTTCTATTGAAAAATCATTTACATTTACAAAGGATTAAAACTTCTGTTAAAAGAATCATATACATTTAAGTTGTCGTCTGTGATGTAATTAGATATATTGAGGTATATGAATTTTTGTTTTCTTAACTCATTTGCTTTTTACGAAACAAATACAATCATTTAATCTTCCAATTTAACAATACTATTAAAAAAAAAAAAAAAAAAAGACACCGGGTACCCGGAACCGGTTCCGGCGGTTCCAAGACCGGTTCCAAGATTTTAAGAACCGATATAACCGGTTCCGGTTCCAACATTCCAAGAACCGTCGGTTCCGATTCCGGTTCCAGACAATTTGACCGAATACCCGTCTACGCTCACCCCTAGTGGTGGTGGGTAGGGATGAGTTATAAAACCGGAAA